TTGACAATTTAGTTTTATGTAGTTTCCTTTTGAGTGGTGTCTTTCTCATCTGCTAATAAACTCTGTGAGGGCACAGGCTAAGCCTGTCTTGTTATATGGTGAATCTCCACCACCCCACCTAGTACCTGACAAATGTTAAGTGTGCAATAAATTCATCAAACAGGGTGGGTGCTTATAAAATCGTCCTTGGTTGGATTTTTGGACTTTTGTTGACAATATATCCACAGACTCAAACGATTTGGGTTTAGTTCAGCCTTTTTTACTCTTTGAGATTTATTATATTGCTTCAAATTACCACAGTGTCATGAACCAGATTGTAGTGTCATGAACCAGATTGCTTTTTTCTGAGCTGTGAGTAATGCTGCCTCTTTTAGAATAGAAGTAGTAATTGTTTTATACTTGTTTGTGTGTTTTTTTTGTTTTTGACTGTTCAATTTAGATAAGTTAAATTGTAATGAGATTGATCAAGCTTAAAACATTTTTCTTATATTTAGCACATAGAATTTGTATTGGAGGGTAGTGGAGGTGAAGAACAGACACATAATTAGTAATGGAATATATTAAGCCTCCTACTCACGTGGAAGGCTTAACAGCTCCTAAAATATTTTGTTGTGGTGAATAGTAGATATCCATTCAATGGTTGTTGAAATGTTTCTCTTTTTTTATGTTACAATAGATCATTAGATCTGCCAAAATATACCGTCTATTTGGGCATTTATGATGGACACATAGAGACACAGGGGTTCCAAAAATTTTTTTAATATGTTTTTTTATTGATTTCAGAGAGAGGAAGGGAGAGGGAAAGAGTGATAGAAACACCAGTGATGAGAGAGAGTCATTGATCAGCAGCCTCCTGCTGGGGATCGAGCCTGTAACCCAGGCATGTGCTCTGACTGGGAATCGAACCATGATCTCCTGGATCATTGGTCGGTGCTCAACCACTGAGCCATGCCGACCAGGCCCAACATTTTTGAACACAATATTTCACAAGTTACAGCCTAATCATGACATATGTAGGAAAGTATTAGAGTACATTTGGAATATAGCTGGACAGCACTTATTGTACTAGTTTGATGACCTTTTTGTCCTTATCACAGAACCTTTGGCATTACAGGTGTATTGTCAAAATCCTGAATGATAAAATCCCTGAACATAAAAAGGCAAACTATATAAATGATGCCCTGCCCCTTATTTCCTGAATTAACTGTCTCACTCCTCTAAAATTCCCTGCTATCCTCATTTTTCTCATCAAATAGAGAAGGGATCACAGTTAAACCTTCCTACGCTCCCTGGAGATAGGAGGGCTTTCTTTTTAACAGGGCTTGGTGAAAATGAGTCACTTTATGATATGATAAAAAGATCATCATGAGCTATGTTCCCTCTATCTTTAGTGAAGGATCTTTAAAGCTCATTTAACCCCCCTAGAGAGCAGCAGAAAACTTTTTTTCAATAGGCTATATGTATACATATATATTTATATTTTGTGCTTTTCTCCCAAATTTGAACCAGAACACATAATCCTAGAACAGAGAAGCAAAGTTATAATCTTTAAGTAAAAATCAACCACCAGCCCAGCCAGAGTGGCTCAGTGGTTGAGCATTGACCTAGGATCTAGGAGATCCCGGTTTGATTCTTGGTTGGGGCACATGCCCAGGTTGCAGGCTCGATCCCAGTAGAGTGGGGGTGCAGGAGGCAGCCAATCAATGATGACTCTCATCATTGATGTTTCTATCTCTCTTTCTCCCTCTCCCTTCCTCTCTCTGAAATCAAGACATATTTTTTTAATAAAAGAAAAAAATCTACCACCATTAAAATAATTTAAAAAAGTGTGGATAGTATATATTTAGTAAAGATAAATATATACTAATATTTAATATAAGATAAAAAGAGAATAAGAAATATTACTCAATAACAGAAATAAATAACATTTTTCTTAAGAAAAAAGAGAACCACTATAGAAAATTTATTGGTGATTAAAAAATAAAATCAATAACAAATAACACTAGGTACAGATATTACCTGGTGCTTATCTAACCACTAGTCTCACATTTTCCACTTGCCCTAAGGACAGCTTTGCTTATAGTTGATAAAATCTGCAGAGAGAGAGAGATGTGAGAAAGACACATAAATTTGTTGCCTCCTGCATGAGCCCCAACCAGGGCCAGGGATCGAACCTGCAACCAAGGTACGTGCCCTTTCCAGAATCGAACCCAGGACCTTTCAGTCCGTGGGCTGATGCTCTAACACTGAGCAAAACCGGCCAGGGCTCTTGCTGCTCTTTTCATTACTTGTTTGCTCTGTGTAGTGAATGGTGGATCCTGGACAATGAGCAAGCTTAGACATTACTGTACTCCTTTTCTTAAAAAACAACTTCCTTCCTCATTCCTGATTTTATTATTCACTCATTCTTAGCAAATACTAAGTATCTAGTATTTTTTAAGTACTGTGCTAGGTACTGGTTATACAGTGGTGCATAATACCATCTCTTCCCATGTGGAATTTATTTTAGAAGAGGAAACAAGACAAAATTAAAACTTTATCTTCTCCCCCAACATTCCCTATGTCCCTTACTTGATTTTTTTCATAGCATTTATTAACATCAAATACTTTTTTTTTATGCCACCCACAGACAGTTGGCTTCATGAGGGCACAGATTTCTGTATATTTTGCTAAAGGAATGTTGGTTACTTGAGAAGTGAGAAAGGCACATCTGACTAGTCATCATGTCCCTTTGACTGTGCTGCTTTAGTCTGTCTTAAGTAACTCCACTGCTGCTTCCTTAGCTCAAGCCCTTTTTAATTTTGCCTGATCTAGTAAAGAAGCTTCTTAACAGTTTTCTTGCCTCTGTTGTACCTTTCCTCTTAAGACTGCTGCCAGTAATCTTTGTGAAATTTAAATCTGAATTTCTTCAGTGATCTCCCATCTTTTCCAGGTAATTCAGATTCCTTAGCTTTTTATTATCGAGTTTCTTTGTAGCTATCCAGCTTTGCTCTTTTTATTTCTCTGCCACTCCCTGTTCTTCATCTCAAACTTTATGCTACAGTAGTACTAATATATTGCACTTCCTCAAGCTTCTTCGCAAAGTGTGGTGGCCAGAACAGAGGCATCAGCATAACCTGGAAACTAGTTAGAAATGCAAATTATTGGGCTCTACCTCAAGCCTGCTGAATCAGAAACCCTGGCAGTGGGGCTGAGTTTTCCAGGTGATCCTGCTGTACCTTAAATTTGAGAGCCACTCCTTTAACCGTTTTTTTAGAAGTTCATTTCTTTTAAAAAATATATATATATTTTTTACTGATTTCAGAGAGAGGAAGGTAGAGGAAGAAAGAGATAGAAACATCAATGATGAGAGTCATTGATCTGCTGCCTCCTGCACAACCCCTGCAGGGGATCGAGCCCTGGCTGGGAATCTAACTGCGATCTTGTGGATCATCGCTTGATGCTCAACCACTGAGCCGTGCCAGCCGGGCTAAAAAGTTCATTTCTTGAATAATCTCAGCCACTACTTGCCATGCTTTCAGTATCATTTTCATTTGTGTAACTTTTTTTTTTAACTCCTCACGGAAGGATATTTTTTTAGAGAGAGTCGGGGGGAGACATCAGTGTGAGAGAGAGACATCTATTGGTTGCCTCCCACACTGGGGCGGGGATCAGACCTGCAACCAAGGTACGTGCCCCTAACCTGGAATTGAACCCTCCATCTCTGGCCAACGCTCTAACCACTGAGCCAAACCAACGAGGCCTCATTTGTGTAACTCTTAATCTACATCATTAGCATTGATTTCTATGTCAATCCTACTTTTTAAATTGTGTATTGGACATTTATCCTGGATATCCTTCCTGTACTTCAGACTCTTAAGGCTCTGAACAAAATTCATTTTCCATCTGCTGAAATTTGTTTTACATACTGTGTTTCCTGTTTCCTCCTTCAAAGGATTCCTCCTTGCAGCTGTGAATTATAGATTATGTAGTAATTTTCTCATTGGTTTATTATTTTGTCTTGCTCTTGAGGAACCAAAAACAAAAATTTTTTTTTTTTTTTAGTAACTACTGACCATAATAGGGTCAGGTTTTTCCAGACAATAAAATCACTATTGTTTGTAGACCATCTGTTAAAATGTATTTTTATCTTATCTTCCCTTTTTCCCCTTCCCTCCCTTTTCCCTTCCTCAGTCTTCTTTCTCTCTCTCATTTTGAGAACTTAGAGACTACTTACTTTGAATCCTGACTTTAGTTGCCCAGATTCTACCGTAAAGCTGAAAGGATCCTTGATCTGGGCCAATAAAGTGATAGCTTGTACTGACTGGCACCAAAGGTTAAAGCCAGGCAACATTTCAGATATCTCTGTGCAGTTCCTACAGTAATTTCTCAATAAATTCTTTTTAAATGAATAAGTGAGTGAGGAGGCATGTCTCAAAGGACTGGGCAGATCTCCAAGGTCAAAAAAGCATTGTGCGATTGTGGCTAAAACCTCAAAAAACTGCACAGTAAGGGCTGAGAAATTTCAACACTCAAATATTTATTAAATGAGTAAATGAAAGATTTTAAAGGAAAAAAACAGTCATCATAGATGGTTAGATATTTCCTTCTCTGAGGGAGGAGGGATAAATTTAAACTATTTCAGTGTAAACTTTCAAGTTTAATTTTTAAAATTAATGTTTATTTTTATGTGTGTTTCCCTATGAGCAGCTTGATAAACATTTTTAATAATTTTCACGTTGATTGATATAAGTTATTTTTGTTGGATTGGAAAAACTGTGTGTGTGTGTGTGTTCAGATGTGCAATTTAACAAATACATATACATATCTGTTAAATTGTGTGTGTATATGTGTATATATATATTTGTTAAATTGCACATGTGAATTACCTTACATATGAGGAATTTTTATACTTGAAAATCATGATATATACCTATTCTCATAACTTGAGCTATTTTCTCATAAAGAATATGTATTCTTAAGTTATAATAATAAAAAATTTCTTTTTGACATACACACAGGAAACCTCGACCTGTCTCCCAGTTGGTTGCACAGCAGGTTACTCAGCAGTTTGTGCCCCCTACACAGTCAAAGAAAGAGAAAAAAGATAAAGTAGAAAAAGAAAAAAGTGAAAAGGAAACAACTAGCAAAAAGAACAGTCATAAGAAAACCAGGTAACTTTAAAGAGTATTTTATGGTACTTTTGAAATAATAAAATTAACCATTTTATCTCTTTTAACATTGATACAAAATAGAAGTAAAAGATTTTATTTCCTTTATTGTAAAATATCATGAAATTGTGATTTTTTTTTTAAGTTTGAAAGGTGTACTAGAAATAAACACAGAGGCCACAAACACAAGCCTAAATGTGAGGATGCTTTTTTTTTCTTCCCTAGATTAAAATACATTTATTTGTGTTTGAGCTATTTCTTTTCCATTCATAAAGCCAGGAATGGTATTCACAGTATTCACGGATATTTGCATGGGCTTTAATGAGTGAAAATGGTCATGGGTCCAGGGGGAACAGACAGCCTCGATCACTTATCCATGCACATCAGCGGAGTAACAGCCCTGTGTATAATGCAGCCTTAGCTGTTACCAACTTCCTCTGTGATGCAACTATATCATTGCAGTTCCAAAACATTTTTTAAATAAAATTGATAAATGTCTGAAAAATTATGATAAAGCTATAAAAGCACAATTAAGAGACCATTATTTCCAGAGTGCCACTGTTTTTTTGTCACATCAAAGAAGATTTATGAGTGATTGGTTTGGTTAATGTTAATGATTTGACACATTTAATATTTTTGTGGTTACACATGAATGTAGAGCTTTAAACATAGGTGTATTCATTTTGTTGTTTTTTCCTAATTTATTCATTATATGCATAGAAAGTTGGTAGGCAGAAAAGCTAGTTTAAAATTATATCATCTTTTGTGTGTTTAGGCCAAGATTGAAAAATGTGGATCGGAGTAGTGCTCAGCATCTGGAAGTTACCGTTGGAGATCTGACCGTCATTATTACAGACTTTAAGGAGAAAACGAAGTCACCGCCTGCATCTAGTGCTGCTGCTGCAGATCAGCACAATCAGAGTGGCTCTAGCCCTGATAACACAGAGAGGGGAATGTCCAGGTCATCTTCACCCAGAGGAGAAGCCTCATCATTGAATGGAGAATCTCATTAAAGTTTATTTTCTCCAATTTCTTAGTCACTTCTGTCATACCATGCAGATACACAGATTATGCCAAGAAGTACCACATTTTCATGACAAACATATTCATGCACAATTCATAAATTTGCTTTTTACATAAAATAGAGATTTGTTAGAATTTGTTAGATTTTATTGCAGTTGATGCCTACTAGACATTTCCAGACTTCCTCATTTTGGTCCCCACAGTTAAAGGTGCCATGAAAATGTGGTTGAATTATTCATTATGCAGTGTTATTGGTAAGTCTGTTTCACTTTTAGTTTAGTGAATTCTAACACATAATTCTTGAATTCTCTACTATTGGCATGTAACGAATTTAAATTTTTATAACATAGTGCAAGCTGCCTAAATATGTATTATTTGAGAATTGTGAAACAAATAGTTATATGTATACAAGTCAAAGATCAACTTAATCAACTATTGCTGCAACAGGATTTTCTTAATGGTTATCCTCTTAATACACCTGCTGGTACTTGGTGTGGTTAAATAGGAAAATTGTTATTAAATAAAGAATTTGTATGAACCGTTGCCAATATTTTTGACACATTTTACTAAATTATTATTCCTGAATTATGTTTCTGGTTTAATCTGTTTTTGTTTTGTTTTGTTTTGTTTTGCTTATCTTTCAAAACATTCACTTATTGTAATGTTTACTTTCAGATTAGTAAACAATAAAACATTGATTATTTAGCTTTATAATTCAGGTTTAGTGCTATTGTCATTGAACACTGGTATTTTCTGTATTATATAAGATATTAATAAAATTCAAATAATTATAAGCATTTGGCAAAAGCAGAAAAGAAACCTGCCATATTTTAAAAGCTGCAATTTTGGGAAAAGCTTTAACTTAATAGTTCTATCACTGTTTCCTCGCCCCAAACTTTATCCAGGGTTATAGAAGTATGAATCTAATTAATACAGAAATGGCAACTGTTGCACAGAACTGGGAAAAAAACTAGTCTTAAGTCAGTTTAATTGGCATCTTATTAAATGTAACAATTCTTATGAAAATCATAGTGCCCTATTTTCAGACACAACTGCCAGTTTATGCATTTATCAATATCCCAGAATAAAGAACTATTTACAGCCCCACTTACTATTATGTAAAGTTATGAATAAAATATTTTTATGACTACAGATTTTGCATTTTTGTTTACAACTAATAAAATGTTTTATGTTATATTTAAAAATCAAACCTAGAAACCACACAGTACTACTTAAATTCTCCTAGGGTCTCCTGCTTTTTCTTAGCCATTTGCTTAATATATAGCCACCTGTAGGAGACTTCTGCAATATAAATGAACTTAACAACATAACTTGGATACAAATATCACATAAAGACATCATGCTAGCATTTCAAGAAAAAAATAAAACTGTAGACCTTGACAGTTGTGATATATGGTGGTTTCACGTGGTAATGTAATTTTCTGTTTAATTGCAGTACTTTTTACAGGCACAATGGTACTGTCTTTTTTTGTAAGATGCTAGTTGTGAAATACAGTTAATTGCATACAGTAAAAGTCTGTGATTAAAACATTTATATACCTCATTCTTTAGTGTTGTTAAATGAAAAATTAAAATTTGTTTTTATTATAAGATACTTTCAATGGAACTGCAACTAACTGGCTATGTTCTTTTAAAACATGAAGTTTTTTGTCATTTTGTTTTTTTTTAATGTGTTTTAAATGTTTTTTTTATATACTTATTTTTAGACCTAGCAAAAATTACAGATAATAGTAATAGGGAAAAGATTCTAAATTTTAAGTCAAAACTATGCGTTAGAGGTACTGGGTCTCCTGATCATGCTCCCATACTTTCAGGATGTATTTTCAATGAACTGCAAAAGAGAGAAAAATCTGACAGAAGTTGGGATTTTACCGGAAGGGGGCGGGGCATAGTCATCCTTCTATATTGGTGGGGAGATGATAATAAGTGGTGCCTGGTGTTTGAAGCCCTGTTGTAGAACCTAAGTGAGGCTGAGTAAATTACTCAAGGTCCCTTCCCATCCGTTAAACGGTGGTGATGATCCTGTCTAACTCATAGGGTTGCTGGGAGGATTAACGCTCCATATAAACTTCTTAACAATTGCCTGACACGTACTGGAGGCTCAGCAAATGTGAGCCTTTACTATCTTCATCGGTAAAATCCCATTACAAAAATTTTTTTTGTAACAAAAATCATTCCCATGCCCTCTTGGGTCACCGAAAGGAATTGTGTTCTATAGGTTACAATGAATTTTCTACATCAGATGTTTGCTCTGACCCCAGACCAGCCATCTTCCCATAACTAAAAAACCTGATGGTGTGCACTATGAGACGGGAGAAATGAACTGAGTTGGCTAGTTTAAAGTTTTGTTTTCCTTTCATTAATCATAGTTATCTTCACCTGCCTTCATTTCACTTTCATTTCACCCTACCTCAAACACTTCCAAACGAGGAAGCAGACCCAAATCCCATAAATACTTACGCCTAATATTAAAATATGCAAAAAGATTCAGAGCTTGGGCTCAGAGTACATTTTTAGCTCTGTTTCATCAATTTACCCTGTGATTTTAGCAGTGGGTTCTTTTAACCCAATTCCGTACAAAAAGAATTTGGATGTTTTTCAGAGTTTATTACCTTATTTTGATATAAGTAAGAGTGAAGATATAATTTGAGGCATACAAGAATACATAACTCTTAAAGCCTTTTGTATTACACACTAGAAATAGTTGACTTAATAAAGGTTTTATTTTTATTAAATGCTTTCCTAAAATTATAGTGATGATAGTAGACAGTGAAAACATTAAAAAGGGAAGAAAACCCTCAGCTTCTCTAAGTTGATTGCATATTTATTACCTTTCTTTTAGATAATTCTTATTGCTTAAAAAGAATGTAATTTCTGCATATTATATGCATTAATGCTAAATGGTCTAGAAGTTTTAGTTTCCACTGAGGCTCATTTTTACATATTTTCCTGGTTTGCAACTTAATCTCTTTTCCAGAATCTTTTAAGACCTGACGTAGCAACTGTGAAATTGACAATTTCTGTACTGTACTTTGAAACTTAAGAAAAAATAGAAAAGTTTGTGTAAGGATAACTATAAAATAATACTTTGACCTGTTAGCACTGGCCCCTCTCCCCTTTAACCACAGGCACCTTCAGTTCTCTGGAACCATGAATGTAGAAAATGGACATGTAGAAAGTTATCAGTGACAAAAACAGCTGAGCAGAATCAAGAGACAGTGAAGGTTGCAGAATACAGGATGTGACTGATCATTTTGTGAAAGCAGAAGGTACAGAATACTCTCAGTGGCTAGTGATGAAAAATAAGCCCTGCTAATATCAAAGGCAAGGTAGAATAGGAACGGGGGAAAATGAGGGAAGAAGAGGCGGAAAAGCAAAGCACAGATAGCAGAAATTAGAAAATGGGGCATTGGGATGCAATCAGGATGATAGAGAAAAATCACTGGGAACGGAGAGAGAACAAATGGAACTTACAGCGTGTTTGCCTCAGAATATTTGAAAAACATTCTATGATAAGTCATAATGACAGTCATTAAAGTTTCAGTTGTGTTTGGTAGACTTTTCACTAGGGCAGCAGTATGTAATTACTTCATTACGATGTTCTTCAAAACCAGTTCATTTTAAAAAGCTGCCTAGAGAGATTTTATCTTGAATTACATGAATACTTTCCTGAATTCACATCCCCACTAGCCCAGGTAATTTAAATATGTTTCTAATGTGGCATTCTGTTTAGCCAGTGTAGAAAGTCCTGCCTTTATGGAATAGGCCAATTCTGGAGCATATGAAATGCTATGATAAGACCAGGTACTTTATGGGGAAAATCAAGTGTAGCTCTGAAAGGTTTCAGTGCTGTGGGACGTTTCATGTTCTGAATCTTTTCTAGTGGTGATCCCCTCCTTGCCATCAGAAGGAGCTGTAGATTATAGTAGTAGCTGTTTTACTGTTGTAGTATTTCCAGTATTTTCCTGATCTAGGTTTTCTTTACATCAGCATCATTCAACTCTGAACATTTATTGAGTATATTTTGTGTGCTAGGACTGGGCGAGGGGTTGGTTACAAAGGACAAAAATACGGAACTCGTATCTTGGAGAAGAGATCTGTAAATTACTAGAGTGCCTTCACTGCAACAATAAAAATATGCATAAGATACAGAAGTAGCAGTGAGGTGGGTGTGCTTGTCACAATTTTGTTTCTAGAAAATTCATCTTGGCCTAAGTATCCACTGCAAGTGTACAGTGAAAACGTTTGGATCTCATCTTGATAATTGAGCTGGTAATGTTGGGTGTCACAAATAGTTTTTAGCCAGCACTCTTTCATTATTCCAGTTTGGATTTTCAAAAGTTTAAAATGTTAAGCCCTGTCATGTGAGATTACTTATTATTTTTCCATACTGATTTTTAAAAATAAACATCTGGATGAGGATTGCTATTGCCTTTTTGTGAAGATTATTGAGGAAACATCACATCACTCAATCCAAATGAGAAATTGTATTCAGACCTGTTTCAGGAAAAGCTTTACTTCTCCTGAGAAATCAACTTGCCTTTTTCTTACGGATAATACAAATCTTAATTGTCCTTGACTTTTGTCCTGTTCTTGTTGTTCTCGGATTAAAATTAAGTTTGCTTTAAATAATTATGTAGGACTCAAATGCCTGCATGTCTATATTCTAACTTGTTCTTCATTTTTCTTCTAGATTGCGATTTTTATCCACTTATGTTTTTCTTTGTGTCCTTTTAAAGCTCCTTTAATTTCTTCTGTAAATAAGGCTAAATAGTAACACTTTTTAAAAAAGCTTTAAAAAACGGCTTTATTTCAAGGTGTGAGGATAAGCCCCAAAGGGAAGTTTTTGACGCAAGGAGCCAGTAAAGTGGAGCCTCTCAGCTGGAATTCCTGATGAGTGGCAATAATTGTACGAGTTTGGTAGGTCTTGAGATTACACCTTGGTTTAGATTCTGCTGACCTGCTTAGAAGTAAGTACGGAGTTGGGATGAAAGCTACCATACCATCTTCATACTTCCATTAACTTTCAGCAAGAGAATTCAGAAACAAAACTGGGTACCAAGATTTATCAATTTAGACTTTTTAGTGTGTATTATGTTCACAGTCCTCTTTTAATTTGTAATAACAGCAGTGAATGAGCCTGTGTTTACTTTGGAGTCAGCAAGATAGAGAAGACTTGGGATACTTGTTTAAAAACAGTTTGGGAGAAGAATACTGAAGGACAAAATGGCAGTGACAGCATTTTTTTAAAAAAGAGTAGTCTGAATTCAAGGGCAGAGCGACCTGGCCTCAGGCCTGAGAGAGTTTTTGATCTTTAATTAGAGTAAATAAAACAACAATAAACCTGTGTTTCCAGTACAGGATAAGAAAAATAATTTAAGGGACACTTAGAGCAACAAATAATTTTTTTTAACTTTACTCAAAATAAAATATGGGAATATAAAAACAAAAAGAAACCAAACATAACTCAGCACTGCCTGGTGATGTAATTCCTGTGTAGAAAGGAGTATGCGTAGCAACAAGAATTCTGATGTTTTTCAATGAAGCACTGGACTTCGGAAGTGTGAGGCTATCAGAATTCTTATTTTCAGCCTTCATTCTTGGGAACCTGGGTTAGGAGAATTTGTGCATATGTTTTTTAATTTTAATTTTTCCCATGACTAAATTTCCCTGCAAATCTAGCTTTTAATGTTACTGACAGCATTTCTTTTAAAATAATAGATTATAATCTACTGTAATGGGAATGAAGATTGAACCAGGGAGAAATACAGGGATGGTCCACAGGATAGTCCTTACTCCCTTCTCTACTCCAACCCCTCCGCACTCTCGCGTGTGGGTGGGAATGCCAGCTAAATCCTGGCATCAGGAGTTAAGGTGTCCCCATTCATTGGTTTTCTACTACCACTTCGTCCAATCTTGTGGCCTCTAGCTGAGTTTCTTAGTGTTTTACTCTTTCATCCTGTTCCTGACCCTCTCCATTTCCCACACTTACTGGTCTGAATGAACACTAAAAATGAAATACTTTTTGTTTAAACTGACTACATTATTTTCCAACTTTTTCCTTCCATCCAACAAGGTCTCTAGGAAATGTGCTGTGGAAAATGGAGAAATTTTACTAGAGGCCCACGGGG